GTCTTTATGCACCCCAAAAATATCCATATTAATTTTAATTCAGAAAATGCCAAGTATGGTATGTATGAATTACATTGCTACTGTTTTTTGTTAAATAAATTCATATAGGACAAACACATTGTATCACATCCTTATCGCATAAGTCAATATAAGATCTCTCTAAATGAACTTAGTAAGCATGCACTTGCTTTAGATAAACATTGCCAGGACCAGAAAAAGTATAAATCATTAACAGTTTATTAGGATCATGTTGACCAGGCAAGGTTTGCTGAATGAAAATAAATGAAAATATGTTTGATTCTCGCTATATCAATGTAACTCATGTTTTTTTTTTTAAGATAACTTGATTTATAAGCAACAAATCAGGCTGGTTCTTTGAATTTGTTTCTTAAAATGTTTATATGATCATCAGGTTTTTCAAATCATAGATAACTGTCGTTTATTATTTGACTTTAACAATGCCAACGTATGTTCTCACTCTTTTTATTCATAAATAAATGTGTATGAAAATTACTACATTAAAATTAATTAATGAATTATTAAAATAAAAAAAATATAAACAAATCTCATGGATTTCATTTATGTATGTGAAACTCTTTAATCTATCAATCTGAGGATGCATAGAAAAAGTAGATGGGTTTGGCCACTTGGTGGCGCTATAACACACACACAAAAAAATTATGGTTTGTTGCTACTGGGCAATCAGTCCCCATAATCTGAGTAACATAAAGGCGGCAGTCTATGAAGTCGAATAAAAGTTAGAATAAACAGAAATACACACGGCTACTTTAAAAACGTTGACTTTATTCTATATAATGATACAGCAACGTATATGAATGCAGAAAAATAACAATAAAAAAGTGCAAGCAACAACATTTTCATGTACCATGCAATAGGGGTAGACTGAGTACAGTAGAGATACTTTCTGCTTTTTTCATCACTACACAAAAACTAGATGCCGAAATGAAGCGATTTTTCATGCTCATAAACATAAGGTGCATTTTTGTCTCAAATGTACCCATATACAGTTGAAACAGTACCATGGTACAGTTGAGACACCCATTCTTAATGCTCTAAAGCTGGCTAACCATTTGTTGCAAATGTAATAAATTACAGTTTATTTAATTCAGATTCAGTTAAACAATATAGGAACAAAATATTTAACACTAGAAAATATATGGCAAACAGTACAAATGTAAACATAACAGTAAAAATGTAAATTGTCATTGAAAACAACAAAAACAGAAACAAAAATAAAGTCCACTCACTGACTACATTGCCTAACACACACATACACACACACACACACACACACACACACACACCTCATACACCGAGCACACACACACAACTCAT